ATTAAAAATTTTCTAAAATGGTTTGCGATTTAAGTCAAATCACCACACACATTTCTGTAACACTCTCTATCATTTGACATACAAGGATACAATAAAAATTTAAAACGGTGTCAATTCAGACCGGTGAAAAGTTACCAGCCGCAAATTTCCGCCATCATTCCACACGGCCAAAAAATGTATCCTCATTACCTGGATAGTTGGCGCTCCACTACTGTGCGCTTTTCGAGACACTTTTTGCCCCGCACAACCAATCTGTGGAACGGGTTATCGTCTGCGGTATTTTTGGACCGATACGACCTTCAAACCTTCAAGAAAAAAACGTACTCCTTTCTAAAAGGCTGGCAACGCGTTTGTAACTCCTGAGTTGCAGGCGTTCATGGGCGGTGATGGTCACTTTCCATCAGGTGACCCTTCTGCTCGTCTGCCCCCTCTAGCATAAAAAAATAAATAAAAAAGTTGCCTTTAACTAACGAGAAACAGTGTGTATTTATAACTACACGTGCATTAAATAAACTAGGTTTCTGCATATCGAGGGTAAGTCTTTGAATATTTGATTTTCAAAGCGAGAGCTCTGAGCATAGAACACATATTAGCTTATAAAACGAGCGAATGTTGTATACATTTAGTGTTTCCTAGAATTTTTATAAAGAAGGGCGTAATGAAGATCCTAAGAGATATCGTGGCGCCACTAGACTTAAATGAACCTCAAAGCACATATAATAATATTCTTTTAACCTAATAATTTAGCATTTATACTGTGTTTACCTGGCTATATATTATAGGTGGTTATATTTATACAGGGTTACTGGGTGAGTCGCTAATTCTTAACACACTTGTTCTTTCATCTAAGTTTTTTCTATGAATTCTGATACTATCCTAGATAGCTGAGAATAGGTGCATATTTTTTAATAAACTTACAGTTAAACTTTCTACTTCGGCCCTGTTTGTTAACTACAATTTAAGTAATTATAATTATAAAACTATTTATCAACTACAGAAAAACAGTAAAAAAATTAAAGGATGCAAGTTCTAAAAAAAATTGTATATCCAATATCTTGAAAATGGTGAGGTTCGGGATATGGTATGTCATAGTAAAATCTATCAGAAATGATGGCAACTACAACCCCTTAAAGTATTTAGGTCGACTTACTCAGTAACCCTGTATATAACATTATATTTGTACATCGTCATATATTGCTATTGGTATTGGTTGTAGGATCCGATTTCCGCATTTAGACTCGAGAGTGTTCCTTTATGCGTCTTGAAGAGGTTGGCTAAGCTCCTTCCAGAAGCGCAGAAGAATCCTGGGGCTTTCACAGGCTTCTAGAAGCGATACATTGTCATGTATCAAAATCTTAGTTTTGTATTTGTGGGTGTAGATTTTAAAAGTTTAAATAATTTTTCACGAAAGAAGATCATCAAGTTAATATTGAATTGAAAAAAAACTTTGTTTTGCAGTTTAGAGCTCTTCTAAAATTGGATACAAGAGATGCATACTGGAACTAATATCAATAGATGCTAATAAGGTAACAGAGTGTAGACTTATACGTTCTCATGATTTATTTTGATGAGTTTGATAGATTGGATTATGATTATTATTCTTATTATTGTAGTGATATTTTGTTTCTGATCAAAGCCTCATTTAAAAAAATATGCTATAATTTATTCCACACTTTGCTTCTGATTAAATTCTCGATATAAAGCTTACGTATTTGAACTTGATATGATTTCACATTCTAATCATTCTATAATTAAAGTGTGAATAAATCTCACACATCTCACACACGGCCGTCTGATCCCAAACTAGGCAAAGCCTGTGCTATGGTAACCAGACTGCTGATAAACATACTTATATATTTTTAAACACACACATATTACAGATAAATTACACCCATATTTTTAAAGCCTGCAATTAGGATAAAGATTAGGTAATTGTATTGTCATCAAAAATCACAAGACTGTTGAATGTTTGACTTTTGTTTGAATGTTTTGTAATTCTTGTATCACGCCTTTTCTAACAATAGAGCATAATCTATCCTGGTTAACTTTAGTGATCGCAGACGGCAAAAACGCCGCTCATTTTACTGTTTCTTAATATAGGTATTTCTATATTATACAATAGTTTTTTGTGTGTAATAAAGTGTATCTGTCTGTATACACTTCTGATATTTATCTTATTCATAAGTACCATATATCCCTAATACATTCCAACAACAAATAAGATCTCAAGTGGGAATTGATACATTTATTCGTATGAAAAGTTTTAATGGTAAAATGAGTAGTACCACCTTATTAATAACCAGAAAGGGTATAAAATATTTGCACGTATTTAACGTTGAGCCGAGACTCAGGAATGTAATTTTACGGAGCGACCGAAGCTTGGAACGTAATATTAAAGTTGGAAGAAAATAAAACTGATGAAAATGTTGTATTTGAAAAATATTTAGTAGAATCTTTAGGTGTTACTGAAAATTACTGCATTGTAATTTTCTAAGGCCATCACATCAACAGCCTATAATAGTCCACTGCTGGACATAGGCCTCTCCTTAGAAAGGAGGTTTTGGCCTACTATAACACGCTGGCCAGACGGATTGGTATAGTGTTTGTGTCAAGTTTTCCTTCTCTTTGCAGTGCCGTTATCCTGCGTAGTTGCTGCAAATGCTCCCTTAGGCGGCTCTTACGATACCCACATGATGAACAGGGCTATAATATACAAATTTGTATGTTTATAATGTTGAATTTTTTAATATGTAATTTCTAGCTACAGTTCTGCTCTAAGAATTATCCTAGAAATGTTGTCTTTGTAATGCCATCTAGTTCCAAACTAAGCAGGGCTTGTACTATATGAGACTATACGAGACATCTGTTATGTAAATATTAAGTACTTTTTTGTAAATATATACATACGATACATAGAAATACCCAGACCAAATCAAACTTTTCTTATTTATTTTTTTTAAAGACAACTCCCGCACTAGGAATAACTGTGTCGCGGGGGACTTTACAAACATACATGAAACGGACACAAAGTACACCCAGACTCAGAACAACAATTTGTGGATCACACAAAGTGTTATTCCATGTAGGGTTTGAAACCACAACACTCGGCCCAATAGGAAGCGGCGTGGCGACCGCTTAAACCACTACGCCATCCGTGCAGTCGAATTTTAAATGTTTATGCAAACAAATGTTAGACTTGAGCGGGAGTTGAATCCGCGAACTTTGGCGTAGCATTACACAAACCACTACAAAATCTTGCCGATTATGTGAAGAGTAAGTGTGGTTAAATTATTTAATTATATTACGTAATGTACAGGTTACGTAGGTTTTTCATTTGAAGTTCACCGGGTATGGAAAATTACTGTTCCCTAATTATAATTCTTGTAACCATAAATAATCGTTACCCAAATTATATATGGTTTACAAAAATTTAATAACTTTCATTAATTAGTAAAAGTAATCAGGGAATCTTTTTTAACTTACTTGAATAAAGTTTCAACTATGATTATCTGAGATTTTTAAACTGAGACGTATACAATTTTTGGTAGTTTGCTAATTCAAGCTGAAGCTTGAGATAGGTATGTAAAACAATAGTTACTTATTAGTTAAAATTTATATGTAGATTTGGGATAGTCTCCCACATTTCAATTTGACTGCACGGATGGCGTAGTGGTTTAAGCGGTTGCCACGCCGCTTTCTACTACGCCGAGTGTTGTGGGTTTAAACCCCACATGGGACGACATTTTGTGTGATTCACAAATTGTTATTGTGAGGTGTGGGTGGGTTTTCTTTGAGTCCGTTTCATGTATGTTTGTAAATCCCCCGTGACACAGGATACGTTCCTAATATGAGAGTTGTCTTTTTTATAGAAAAAAAATATTGATAAATTTTAAACTATAATATGTTAATTGCAAGAGATAATTTTCATGTGAAATGTTATTGTATGGTAATGGAATCAAATTAATTAATCTTAAATATTTTACTTTACTTACGCTGTAAAATCTTGCTTCTTGTAATATTTAGTGATTAGAGAATCAATGAGAAGTATTTATAATCCTTTATATTCATTGATTTAGAACAACAGCCTTTAACAGTCCACTGTTGGACATATGCCTCTCCTTAGAAAATAGGTTTACTATACCACGCTGGCCAGACAGGTTGGTATAGGGTTTGTTTCAAGTTTTCCTTTTCTTTGCAGTGTTGTCGTTCTGAGTAATTTGCTCCCTTAGTCAGTTGGTGACAAACCGTATTCTTAATCCGTCGCCACACGGACATTGATTTAAAAGCCTAATTTTGGGAGCTTCACGGGACTGCAGATTTGAACTTCAAACAATTTGTTGTTTAAGGTTAGTATTAAAAAAATATATTTGAATTCCGTACAATTTTATTATACACTAACATGTGGTAAATTTGTATCAAATATATTTTGATTTACATCAAAGTTACTTCATAAATTATTATTTACAATATCAACAATATTCACTCATGCACTTTACAATTGTAGACTTATATTAGTAATACATCTAAAATTGGTCAGCTTATATCTAAATCACAAAATACGAGTTATAACTACTCCCAAATCTATAGGAAACGAAAAAACTTCTTAAACAAAGTTCGTGAATTATTTAATTACATAATTACATTTTATTTTATTTAATCGTAATTTAATGTTTACAATACTACAGGTACAACCGCAAATCTATATCGATAATTATTATCATTACCAACTGAGAAAATAAACATCAGACGTATATATTTATATAAACTACTACTTTTATAAATCTCAAAAAAAATATTTTGTATTTTCTTTCGTCAACTTATTACACAATGTAATGTTTTTGATGAACTTCATTTTAAAGTTAAGTTAAGTTTCTATTAATTTATAATTCATCACATAAAAGTAATTTACTAGCGTTGGCACTTTATATTACTCTATTTACTAGGCAAAAACCATGGAATAAATCCTAAACTAACACACATTTCAAAGTCTATTCGACATTTCATGAATGCTGCGAAAGGTTCTGCACTTCATAGCTTATATCATTGTCACTGACTACATCAATCTGTTCTTGATCACACACATCTTGGTCATTTGATGAACAGGAACTCTTCGCACAACAACACTTCTTTGAACCAGGAGTTGACGACATTGGAGACTCTTCTTTTTTCAGCTTAACACGGCGATTCTGAAACCAGATTTTAACTTGTTTCTCAGACAACTTCAATCTAGACGCAATTTCAATTCTTCGAAGTCTTGAAAGATACATGTTCATGGAAAATTCTCTTTCTAATTCTAACAGTTGAGTTCCAGTAAATGCAGTCCTAATTCTCTTACTCGAGTCTTCTTTTAATGGCATACGTTTTAAATCCTTAGAGTAACCTGGTAGAAGTTCTTCTGGATGACCAAGTGGTGGACTTGGCGTGCCATTTCTACTGTCACCGGATAAAGACGGCGAAATATGGCCTTCACTTTTGGATGGAGATGTGGCAGATTTATAAGGATGGTGTAAATACGGAGACACAGATTTTTTTCTCTTGCTAATAAAGTTCACAGGTTCTTGTTCTTCAGTTCTAATGAAAGTTTCAAAAGGCTTTGTTTCAATTTGCGTTTCATAAAAATCCTGGCGAGGTAGCTGATGTATGAAAGGATTGCGGAAGTTAAGTTGATCCAAAAACGGTCTGAATAAATCCGGTGATCGATGTTGATATAGACTGATGTTGAGAAGATTGTTCAAGTTGCCTGGATAGGGGTAAGGCATAAACTTCGGTCGAGGATCCAGGTGATGTCCTAACACCGGTATGTATGGGTGTTTAGGTTCACTAGTTATATCATTCTTCTTGCAGTCTTTCGTATCACTTATCAATGTATCTACTAAAAACGAACGGGACATGTTGACGTGGCTGACAAGCTCTCGTGATGAACCCGAGTTCACTACTGAGTATGGGGTGCGTTTCTCATAAAAGTAACAATTACAAAAAACTACCCCCACTTAGTGTACCCTATTGTAAATACACACAATGGTCCTCGAAGCGTTTTGGCAATTATTTGGGCCCGTCCCACCCCTTTTGTCGGTGAGACGTCAACCCCAGTGCTAGATGAAAAAAAAATGAATGGAATATTATAGTAGCAATGAATAATTTTGTATAGGACGTTAACATCCCTAATATCTGTCTCATTAAATCCAATTTGGTTACTGTTTTGTGTGTGTATGTATATTTTGATTTCTATTTTGTTGGTCCTTTTTTGTTATTCGATGTGTCTATGTTAACTTATTCTGTTTGTTTTTTTGATATTAAATTAACCGTGTTGAATATCTTTAAAGCTAACTTTGGGTCTTGGTTAGAACTTGGTTTATAACTCAAAGTAATTCCGTAAAGATCTTAAGAAATAAGTGGAATGCTATAAATGCAATTGAAAACGAATGCACACTGAAATAATCTTTTAACTTCGAAGTTCTAAATAAGTATTTATTAATATCTATGTCCGTTATATACTTGTACCTCAAATTATAACGCTAATTCCTAATAACAAGGTATACTTCAAATCTTTTTTATCCTTAAAATGATCAAAATTACGCCGTCATTGTTCAGTGCACCATATTAATTAAATATGAATACCCCATAATTGAATCCTTATGGTACACGCGTGGTCTAAAGGAAACCCTTGCAAAATAGGGAGGGAATTCAAAGGCCCCGCCTTTCTAAAACTAGTTTATGAAATATTAAAAGCACCCTAATATTTTGTAGTTGGTAACATTATAATTGTGAATCAATTCGTGTTATTATCATGTCAGCATTAATTTGTAAAGTAACATTTTTCTTTTGTTGTGTAAGTGGTATCTGATGGGAGATTTTGTAAGTAAATATAAAAATTATGGTAATATGTGTCGTGATATATGTGTATCGAGTTTTGTGATTAAGACATCTGGAGACTGGTTTTGGAACTGTAATCTGTCTTTCTTTAGAACGTTTGTATCCTGATTCAAGGATTTTTTTGGTCGTTCTTAGTTCTTCGAATTTTGAATTATTATTTCTCTAGTAGTTTTACCGCCTAATATTCCGAATATTAGGCGGTATAACTACATAAAGATAACAGTTTTTCTTTTAATCTTATGCGGATAAAAAGTAAGTAAATAATTAAATAAAAGCGATTCCTTTTTGTAATGGATATTTTGCGATGAACGAAGGACGAAGAATATATCGAAAAAGAATCCGACGAAATAGAAACCCAGTGACATAGGAATAAAGAGAATCAGGATACTTTTATTGTATGACTTCTTTGGATAAAAATCACTTGGAGTTCAAAAAATTACAACATTATTGTTATTATCTCTAGTTTCATTTCTTTCTCCACACATTTTCTAGTTATCATTTAGCTTTTTGTTTAATGGTATCGGGGGCACGCGAGCACACTATTTACTAAATAGTAAATGACTACCACCACTCGTGCGTGCCTATCAGAGACAATCCTTAGATTCCGGGATTAATGTTTCCATATAACTAGGTCTTCTTTTTTAATATCGACCTCTAGAAATCACAGGTCATAACCTAAATATAGGCGAGGGTGAGGTAGTATCTTGGACTTGAGCCGAAACCATACCATTGTCCTCGTAACACAAGTTAGTTCATAGTAGTCGTCTATAATTGAATTACTGGCGTCAATATTTAGGACCCGGGATTTGACAAGGAAACCTCCGAGAGCCAATACAGACAGGTATGGTAGCCAGCCAGCTGCACTGTAGAGGATTTGTGGAGAGCAACAGATAATGCCGTGGCTGTAGCGGAATTTAAAGCGGACACAATATAGGGGTGTTCATCCGTTGATACGATGAAGAAGTAAAATTTTGACACTATACCAACCAACCAAAGAGTCATGGTTCGGCACGAATCGGAGTTCTCATCCGGAGTTAAACCACGGCCTCACAGAAAACCGGTGTTAAGCAATTCTTTTGTTGCTCCTCCTGACTCTAAGGGGAGGGACTCCAAGGACAGGGACTCCAAGGGCGGCAATCTGTGTGATGTCGGATTAAGGGTACGGAGTGTCACCACCCCTATTCGTTCCGTGGGAGTAACAAACTACGCAGGACAAGCACTGCAAAGAGAAGGAAAACTTGACACAAACCCCTATACCAACCCGTCTGGCCAGCGTGGTATAGTAAGCCAAAACCTCCTTTCTAAGGAGAGGCATATGTCCGGCAGGGAACTATTAAAGGCTGTTGATGTGTTACAATCTGACCCGCCAGCTCGTTTGCCCCTTTATACTATAAAAAAAACATAAGTCTATAAAATGCAACTTTGTTCACGTTTATAGAACTGTTTTAGTTTCACATATCATCAGATATTTAATATAGGCATAAAAAATGTTAGAAATGTAGTAGGACAAGGATTCTAGCCAAGGGCTATTGATAAAACGTAGACATATAACTCAACGAATTCGTCAATGTCATGTCGTGATCACTATCAGTAGTCGGCAAATCTTTTTTGCTTCTGTTTTCTTTTGTTACTAAATCTATTGGAGCTGGGTTATATCACGAAATCGCAACAAGCCAAATAATGGGATGAAACTAACAATGTTTGAGCAACTATCACTCAGAAACGATTTGTCTCTGCAGGATTTATAAGTCACGATATTTTAACTTTTAACGCCCCAACTGTAAGGTAGAATTTTCAATGATTATTAACAAACTCCCCCACAAATCAGATATAAAGGGTTATTTTTCAATAAAATCAAGCGTATACTTTTAATTGCGTTAACATCAGGGTACCCAGGTGGTACTGTTTATATGAGGTAATTACACGAAATCCTAGTAACGCCGTTGGAGCAGTAATGAAATCGGTAATGGAAGAGTTGATGGGCCTTTCGTTTAGTGGTTAGTTAGTTTAGCCGGAGTCCTGCTCACCGCTATTATGATAATTTGTCAGCTGATAAACATGCTTACATATTTCAAAACACATACATATTGTAGACAGACACAAAACAAATGATCCTGCTCATCACAAAATTATTTGTTCTAGAGGGAATTAAACCCACGACCGCTGGTTTAGTATTTAGGATATCTAACCACTACATGAAGAAGTCAAATCTTTAATACCTATACAATATATTCCTGTAACAGTTACCGTAATTTAAGAACATAACCGAACCGAACACAAACTGAAAATATAAAGACTCAAACTCTTAAACAGGTTTACAAACCTTACTCAAAGGCTTTTATTACATAATCTCTTAAGTAAACTAAAGCTAATATATTTTATGAAACTTTAAGTAAGCATTTACAACCAAATTTAAATTTAATTCAAAACCAATTTGCTTTAAGTCATAAAACGTTAATTCTACACGTAATAACAGCGGAAATGTACTTAGAAAAATAATTTAATGGGCACCGGTACATTGTACACAAATTTTAAAACGCAGTCTTTCTTGGAATATTGCTTTTAAATTGTTTAACAATAGTGTCGCCTGTCTGTCTGAGAGAAGTGTGTCCCGTAGTGATCTACGGGACACACTTGTCCACTTCATTCATAAATTCGTTCATTCATGGTTCTGAATACTGTAAGAAATGGAATATCGATTTCTTTGTTATTGTATTCTATTGTGTTAGGCGATAATTCTTTTGCACAGGTATCGATTAAGCACAAATTTATTTTTGTATACATTGAAAACATCTACAACATTTATTACAAGAGCAATAAGGTCTATATTTTAGTAAATTTTGTCATAGAAATTGTAAACATAAATTTGTTTTAAATTTTTGGTTGATGCTCATGTAATGTTGATCCCATTTTCGACGACTATTGTACCATTTTAAGTTCATTACAGTCAGAATGCGTTTGTCTGTTAGAACATTTGCGACAAATATTTTTTCAGCGATTAATGGGTGTGGGTTTTATGGTTCGTAAAAGGCGTGGTTTGATCAAGGTACATAAATTACTGTATTCTCGTATTTATTGGACGTTTATGATCTTGACTTCCACTGGTAATCGGAATAAAGGTTTTATAAGGTTTTTTAGATATTTTTTTTGACGACCGAATAGCGTAGTGGTTTGTGTAACGGACTGCTATTCCAATTGTCGCGGGTTCGATTCCCGCTCAAGTCTTGACTTGAGCGGGAATCGAACCCGCGACAATTGCTTGCATTGTGTGCATGAACATTTAATGTTTGATTTGGTCTGGGTGTTTCTATGTATAATATGTATGTATTTACAAAAAAAAAAAGTATATATGTATTTGTATCAGTTGTCTAGTACCCATAGTACAAGCTCTGCTTAGTTTGGGACTAGATGGCGTTGTGTAATTGTAGTAGAATATTATTATTATTACTATTATACACTACTAGCTCCGCCCGCGTGTATGTCGGTTATCGCGATAAATAGCTCATGTCCTTCCTCAACAATCAAAATATCTCCATACCAAATTTCAACTTCAATCCCCCTTTTCACCCTAATAAATGATGCTTTCTGGGACAGAAACTATCCTATGCCTTTCCGCTTACTCAAACTATCTATATCTATATCAAATTTGATCTAAATCGATTCAGCTTTTTAAGCGTGAAGAGGCAACAAACAGACACACTGTTTCCTTTTAAAAAATAGGATCACTGCGTCGTCGTATACTAACTTTTAAACTTTTACGTATCATGACTGGCCTGTTCCTCTTGTATTTACAAAACTGACAACTAATCCAGAAGTCGTGGGTTCGATTCCCACCACGGGTAAATAGTTGTGTGATGAAAACTATCCATTGTTCTGTGTCTAGGCGGAATTTACCTATATCATGTAGATGTTAGAAATTTATAAGTATGTTTATCAGCAATCTGATTACCATAGTAAAGGTTGTGCCTAGTTTACCTACTACCTAGCCTACTGCACGGATGGCGTAGTGGTTTAAGCG